GGTGAGCGCTCCCCGGGGGGCGGGCAGAAGTTCCGTCACTTCCTCAGGGTCTTTTTACGGCTTTTGGGGTAAAGGGAGAAAATCATGAGGTATTTGAAGACCTAGTTCTCTCAGACCCTTCCAGCTTCTGTAAGCAAGGTGTGCCAGAAATCTAACACAGAACAAAAGTTCAAGTAATGTGTGCGACCTAGTGCTTTTTATTGTCATTTTACACCCGACCTGGAAAAAAAAAAAATCTACAGACAAGTTATTTTTCTCTTTGTTTTCTTTTCTTCCTAGATTCCTGCATTATTAGTGACCACCCAAAAATACAAATCAAGAACTCTACTTTCTGTATGAGTGCCTATCCAAACTTGACTATGGTTAACTTCACCAGTGAAGGAAACAAAACGTTTGTCAGTGGAAGTGAAGAATACTTCAAGTAAGATCTTTCTTTGTTTAGAGATGTTATGTTACTCTTCCTCTAAAATCCGCTGTAACAGACAACAAATCACTGTTTGGAAGACTAGAAATATAATAGTTAAGGACAGCAAATGATACCCATTTTTTTTATGCGTAGGAATGATGAAAACTAAATTTCAAACACTGGATTATTTCTGCTCTGTTCCTGTGGTGCTTAGCACAGCTGGGGGGTTGGCCCATGCCTGGCATTTTTATCTACTACTGCAATGCAGATAAATAAAATAATACATGGTGAGAATCACTGGAACCTTCTAGAGAAACCGCTCAGAACGCTGAAGCAAAACAAAATGCTGCAGGAATTTGCACTGAATTACTGCCTGCAGTTGCTGTCATTAATTTTTTTCCTTTTTAATTTTTTTTTTAAATTTCTTTTTTATTCTTAGGTACTTTGTATTGAAGATTTCAGCAGGGATTGAATATCCTGGTGAGATTAGATGGCCCTTGGCACTATCTCTTTTCCTGGCTTGGGTGATTGTATATGCCTCCCTTGCTAAAGGAATCAAGTCATCAGGAAAAGTAAGGAAAATATTTGTGATTGTACACTTGCAAGAAAGCAGCGTGCTGCTGTAGGGGAATCACACTCTTGTTTAAGGCAGTGAATTACTGAAAATTATTTGCAGTAAATGGCTAAGTATTAATGAAATGCCCTTTTCCTGTCTGTGTTTTCCTGTCTAGCCAAAACATAAAAAAAGATAATCTTGGTTCAGCATTTGTTCCCTAATCTTCTCTAAGTTTAAAATGAGCCCTTGAGCTGCGCTCAGTAGTTGGATGGTGAAAGAGGTGCCTTCAGCAGCCTTCCCTATTCTGTGTGGTGTTCATTAAAATTCTGCAGTCGTCTGATGTTTCACTGTAACCAGGGAAATTGTGATGTAAATTAAGATGTTAAGTAACATATTTTAAAATCAGAACCAAACTTAAACTGGCCTATGGTGAGTGTGAGCGGTGACAGCGTGTATCCTCTTTTCCCAAATATTTGTGTGCCATCTTTCTAAAACTCCTCTTTGCAGTAACCTAGCTCCTTGCTCCGTCCTTCTGACACCTCACATGTCGTTCTCCCCCTTGCCCCTCAAATCTGCAGCTTTCTGCCATGCCTCCTAACTAGCAACTGTGCCAAGAGGGAGCACGTCCTCTCATTGGCATGGAAATACAAGCATACGAATTGGCCAGGCAGCCGTCTGAGCAGAGAAATGCAGCTTTTTCTTCAGCAGCAGCACTGCTTTGGGTGGGTTTTTTTTGTGAAAC